AGTATCTACCAACTTCGGACTGCACCAAAGCCGGTCATCTCACTACCCCTAAAAAAGGCCAAGATGGTCAAGTAAGGTTCTAAGAGTTCATTAGTGCTTCATGACATCACTCAGCGGCCCCATATTTTCTTTGATTGACTCAAAGGCTACCGGTACTCACAAATATGTCGCACTAATATAGCTATTGCTTCAACCATGTCGGTATACCACACACAGTTTCCACAACGTATTGCTATTTACCTATAAATGTTTCCCAAAAATTCGGGTGAAGGATTCAAACCCAAACAAGAGATCCAAATGTAATGCAATCAAAACAATCAAGACATGCAAAGGTGATCTAAACCCTAAGGTTACTCCACTTTAAAATTAATCCCCAGCAGAGTCTCCAATTGTGATACGGTGGGAGAACTGACTTGAGTTTTTGCATTTGTGTTCGCAAATGTTTCGGTTTAGCAAGAGTCGCCACCGACTTTTTATTTTATCCTAAGGAAAGGTCAAAAAGCACAGGAAAGACCTTTGAGATGTTTTCTTGGGTTCATGGAGTATATTATGAAAAGGGAAGGTGCTAGCACCCTTTTCATCCATGGTTTTCCATGGGCTCTTAGTTACTTGTTTAGATCACTTGCTTTTGCTTTTCAATTGTTTGAAATGGTGCTTTGTGTGTGGTTTTGAAAGATGTTTTGGAAAGAGGCCATCGTTGTGGCAACCTTTGTAATGATTCTTGTTTGAATGTATACAAAGATGTTTTTGTCTTTTGAAAAGTTTTCAATGTTTGAAAGTTGGATTTTTTTGAAATTTGTGTTGTGAAGTGTGTTTGAAAATAGCAAGGATGTTTTGCAAGCTTTTGATCAAGTAACTAAGAGTTATCTACCCTATTTTACTCAAAGATCTCTCTTATGTTTTTAACCCTTTTAACAGTGTTATTTCACCATTGCATTTGGTGAACAACCTTATGTTAGGATGTTAAACGGGACAGGCGCGGGTCATCGTATAGACCATGATAGCAATTGTGTCAAGTATTTTTTTTTTGGCAATTTTCTTGAGGGACTTTATCATTTTTGTTTATGCAACTCAGATAGCGTCATCGAGGGACTATGATATTTTGTTTTTATTTTTGTTTTGCCAAAGTACTTAACATGCATACCATGGCCCATTTTTGAAGGCAACAAGTGGATTGTAACCCTAGGGGTGCAAGTGTGCATTATGTTTGTTTTTCGTGTATTTATGTCTTTGATTAGGTCAAACTATTTGTTAATTTGATTTTGGTATACAAACCCTAATTCTCTAATCATGGCATAATTGAAAGCGTAAAAGTGCGAGAATTTAAATTCTAAGCTAGTACAACATGATTATGGGGATAGGGGTACAATTTTGAATAAAGGGATATTTGACAAGAAATATAAACCCTAGATTACTATTACATCCAAATTGAATTATAAATACATCAATATTTAAATGTACAATATTTAAATGACAAAATAAACAAATATTTAAATAAAATGTATTATGCAAAAAAAAGAAATTTTTATGTATGTAAAAATATTTTCAATGTAAAGAAATATAAAGAAATAAATAATAAAAAAAAAGATTAATTTTATTTATTAAAGGGGTAAACCCTAAATTCTTTAAGAAAATAATATCTTATATTATTTATATACAAAAAAAAAATATTAATATGTACAAAAAATAAAATATGTTGAGAAAAAGTGTTTTTTTAAGTATAAATAATAATAAAAAATAAAAATGTAATATTTTTGTATTTGTGTTCTAAGTTTTTTTTAATAAAATACAAGTGTATATATATATATATATATATATATATATATATATATATATATATATATATATATATATATATATATAATAAAATAAAATATTTATAGAAATAAACTATATTCAAGAAAATATTTTCAATGTGAATAAAAATAAGAAATAAAAAATGAAAGTATTATTTACAATATTTTTTTTATTTAAACAAATAATAAAAGTATTAAAAATGTTTTAATGTTTAGAAAAATCAAAATAAAATATCAAATAAATGTAAAAATATGTGAAAATATTTTTAAGCATTTTTTATATTTGGGGATAAAATAATAAAATCAGAAATGAAATAAAAATGCAAAAATAACAAAATATAAAGAAATTGGGCCAGGGGGTGTAAAACTGAAAATGGGGGGTGTTAGAAGTAGAAACAAGTCAGCCCAGCCCATTTCCACTTCATCTTCTTCCTTGTTCAAACAGAAAAAATGCGCGCCCTGAAAACTGAGCATATGTATGGCTTCATGGAAATGAGTACTACATCTTTCATTCACAAACCTAAGACTAAATGTTCCTAAACAGAGAGATAGAAGTTTGAGAAATACCTGTTTCAGTCAAGCTCGAGTATGGCAATGCAGCAACTTTCAGTGAGGCCTGAGGTTCTTTTGAGCTTGCTTAATGTTCCATGGACCTTTCCCAATGCTTAGTTTGCTTTGAAATGGTCTGAATCTCTCTATAGAACTCAACCTGCAAAGCTTCAAAACAGAAATGGTGAACACTGTAAATGGAGTTACAGTTGGCAATGGAGGTTTGGGATAGCTTGAGTGAGTTGAATGGAAGGTATTGGAACAAGTTTGAGGCCAAACGCACGAGTGGTTTGTGTGATGGATGTGAATCTGCAGGGAGTGCCCTGTTTTGCAAGAAGAATGTGATTTGGTGTTTTGGAAGGCTTGAGGGCTCAACAATTCGTGTTTCTGGCTCAAGGCAATGCACAAAACTTGTTTGAAATGTTGGCAAGAGTTGATTATATCAGATGTGCCAGTTGTGTTGTTTTGGCAAGTTGACTTGTTTTGAAAAAAAAGTGTGAAGTGATATGAGGTAGGCCTGTACAGGCTATCTCCAAGCATGCACAAGTTTCTTGTACCTTTGCCTGAGTTTGTGGAACTTGTTTGCTGCAAAGAAAGAGGTCCAAGGCTCAAGAGAAGCAATGTTGACATAAAGTTGCCTTTATGAAAATGGAAGTGCTACCTTTATGCCCAAAATGGATTTATTCATTGTGCCAAGCTTTGTTGATCAGAATAAGACCAATGTCCAATGTATTTGCATTTAATTAAGTAGTTTGAATTGGTTTAGAGGCCTGTAATCAAGTACAAAGCTAGTTTAGACAGATTTTGCAACTTGTATGAACATGTATTTGCCATGGATCAAAGTGAGTTTTTACCAACTTCAAGCATTCGATTCTCCCTAACCACAAATGTGTTTGAGGAGTTCTTTGACAATTTGGAAAGCTTGCAACATGTACTATAATCCATATTTGAAATGCAACTTGAGACTCCAAATGGAACTATGTGAAAAATGGCCAAGAAGATGGGTCAAAATCCTGCCTAAACTAGGGCAAAATTTCTCTAAGTTAAAAGTTTTATGGACCCTTGTTACAAAAATCATAACTTGAGATCCAAGTTTCTTTTGAGAAAATTTTGTGAATCAAAGTTGTAGAATTTGTGGAGGACTACAACTTTCATGTTGTAAGTTTTGTTTGAATCCACTTGCATCATGGTGAAAATGTGGGACAAAGTTAGGAAAAATTAAGAAAATTTTATAACTTAGAAAAATTCTAAGTTATGAAAATTTTCAATTTCAAACCCTAATTTGCAATTTTGGGTTTCTTGATGAACAAGTTTCATAATTTGACACATCTTGATGAAAAATGACCCTTGGCACTTGATTTTGACCAAAAAGTCAAAGTTTGACTTTTCAGTGTACAGTCAAATATTGATCAGTTGACTGAAAAATTCATCTGTCAATCCAATGCATTTGAGATCTTTTGAACTTGTTGAATAAGTCAAGATAATTTCATTAAGTCCTTGAGTCCATGGTTGAGCTTAATTTGCCACTGGTTAGGTCAAACAGTCAAAAATTGCCTTTGTATAGTCAAAACCCTAAAAATGACCATTTTGCCCTTTTGGTGATCTGATCAAACTTCTTGTGGAATTGTGGTACAAACTTGATCAAATGGTTCATATGAGTTCATAATGTTGATGTGGGTCAAAATTCATGAGTTTTGACTGTAAATTGGTCACAGTTGACTTTTTCCCCAATACAACTGATTTTTAGGTCAACTGTCCAATTGACTGGGCAAAAATTTGATTCAAGGCTTAAAACTTGGTATGGACAAACTTATGAGTCCAACATGAAGTATGAAAGTCAATTTGGGCATTGAAGGTCCAAAAATCTTTGTGCAAACTCAAACCCTAATTTAGGTCAACAGTGCAAGGAGGTGTCTTGAGCAGAGCAAACCCTAGCTTGATCTTGAGTTCCAAGAGCCTTGTGATGAGAAATGTTGATAAAATGAGAGGGAAAACTTTGGGGTACAACAGTGATTCTGCAGAATATCCCCCCACCCCCTCTCTTCTCTTATCTTTTTGTACAGATTATTGAGGGTTTTGATAAAATAGCTAGAAAGTTTGTTAAAGGGTTGGAGAGTTTTCAGAGGCCCAGAGAAGATGAATGATTGGCTATGTTAAAGGATGAGGATGAGAGAAGGAGAAAGATGGTTGAAGCTGGCCCATGGTTCTGGAGAAAGAGCCCTTTTTTATGATTTTTCTGCAGAATCCGGAAGATAAAAAATCTTCTTCATCTCAGGTAATTTTCTGTTTTTTATAGTCTGTTCTTTTTTGTTATGTGTAACTGATTCGGTTACATTTTGTTAGGAATGAAAGTTAGTTATTTTTTCTGTTAGTTGCTTATTAGAAAAACAGTTAGGGAATTAGAAGAAGTTAGAAACTGTCAGTTTATTTTTTTTAAACAGTTTGGAAATTTTGTTAGACAATTAGGAAGTTAGGAAACAGTTAGAGAAGTTAGGATTCTGTTTGGAAGTTTTGTTAGTTGGTTAGAAAATCAATTAGGGATCTATTTTGATTTGAGTGGTTAATCTGAAAATTAGTTAGTAAAAATGAATGGTTGAGATTTGAATGAAAGTCGAGCTGTTATGACTTCTATTAGAAGTTGCTGATTTTTTTGTTATGCTGAAACCAAATTCAGTTAAGACTTGGCTTCTTATTTTTCTGTCGAATGCTGGACTGCAACCATTAACTTGCTTAACTGATTTTAGTTTTTCATGTGCAGGGTTGATCGGTAGCTTGAATGGTTTGGGTCATAGTTAGACGAAAGGTTGTTTTGGTGTTGAACTAGTTTTAGTTAAAGGCTAATTACATATGTTCTTTGTGTTAATGTGCAGGTCATGCAAACTGTTTTGATTTTGGCTTTGCAACTTTTATTCCGACGGAAGCATGCCGTCATAGCAGATTTGTTATAAAAGGAATGGGTGAGATGGATTTGATAAAGGTTAGCTACCTACCTTTTAATTCAGTTATGGACAGTTAGGAGTTTAGTTATAAAATCATGTTTTGACAGTTAGGATTAGTTTGTATTGGTTTGAAATTAGGCTTAGCATAAATCCTGTTAGCAATGCTGTTTTGAATTCAGAGGAGTTAGGAATGAGCTAAGTTTGTTAATGCATGGTAGTTATGGTCTGGTACAAGGTTTGGTTGGGTGGAAATTCTGGTATATAGCCTGGTTTTGAATGGTCATGAACTGCTAAATTCTAAATGTGCAGGGCTGACTATTAGTATTTTATGCTAACTGTAAATTTGAAACAGGATTTATCACGGCAACTGTTTTAGCATAGTTTACATGGCATCTTCGCGATTCTTCTTTTTTGAACTGGTTTTGTTTGCAAGTCGCTAAACTATTTTTCTGATTGAATTTATGGACTGTTTATGTTTTGTAAAGTGCAGGGTTGGAAAACTTGGAGCTGGGACATGAAACCTATCACAGCTGCAATTTTGTGCATGGTTGAATCAAAGTTTGACAAAGAATTTTGGAGGTTGCAAAAATGGCATCATGAAGTCATAACATGGAAAATAATGGAGCTAAGGTTTAGGCATGATAAATTTAGTGTAGCTTTGTGTAATTTACAATTTTTTTGTAGTTTCTTTGGAATGTAATATGAATTTGTAAATTCAAAATGAATCGCTTAGAAACATTTACATGATGCCTAGAAACAATGGTTGAACGAGCATGAATTTTCGAGTGGACATTGAACGATGAATATTGAGATGTTGAATTTGAATGACGTAAATGAAAGTTTGGAATGTATTTGGATTTATTTTGAACGGTATTTGAATGATACTGAAAGTGACAACTTGGACCAAAATAATCACTTGAATGGAATTATAATGAATAACTATGCCTTGCCATTTGTATCTCATCTTTTGCATTCCAAGAAACCCTTATGATTAAGGTCTCCAAACTCGCTTGAATCAAATTCTTGAAAATAAACCAATGCTTAGATTTCTTTAGTACCATTTGATTATCCTCTAAGCACTTCACTTCATGACTCAGTGAACGAATTCCAACCAACTTGCATATTCAATGAACTAGTCCTGAACTCAAGATATGACATAACATTCAATCGAATCAATAATATTCACGCATGAACTCAGTCTCGAAAACAACCTCTCCATATTGAAATTGCCCAAAATCAAAGCCTTTATTCATGTTCGTCTAACTCAATTAGCACTTTCCCGCATCATATCTTATATTGTGCTTCAACTTTTGTAATTCAAGTTACAAACATGTCTACTTGAAAATGTGAGGCTAAAATCCTTAAGAAATTCCCTTGAAGATGATAATTCCTGACGCGCAATATAAGGTTCTCTGAGAAAGTCCCTTGATAAAACAAACCCTAATTTCATGATCTTCGACGAAAAACCTGATTGGACCATAATTACCGAAAACCTGGCTTTAATCGCATATAGGAAAATTAACCATGATAGCCTCGTGTCTTGATGAAGAAAGAAATTCTCAACGACCCATGTCACAACCCTAATTCCACTGCTCGCTGCCTGAATAAGAAATCAGCCTTTATCGGACATGAACGCCTTAACCATTATGAAACCCTAATATCGCACAACCACTGAACTTTGAACCTTAAGCGCTTTATTGAATGCAAATGTATGTTAATGACCTAATGGAATATATACATATGAATGCAAGAGTCTAAGCCAAATAAAAGAAATTAGGAGGGCAAATTTTGGGGTGCAACAATGGCCAATGTCAATAACCCTGCCAATTGGACATATGCCTTAGAAGGTCTTGGAGAGACCTTGGACGAGCGAAAATCACCTCTGATACCTGAGTATCATCCATGTCCATCGCCAGAAAGGACCACTGTATTCTATAATAATTTCTCTTTGCAGCAACCCAACATCTATGCATAAGTTGCTGAGTTACGTAGAGAGGTAGCCCACTTCGTCAGACAGTTGAAGACCTCTCTCTTCAGGTTATGGTTTCCGATGCTACTCACTCTACTGAGGAAGACCTCCTACAGCAGGAAATTGATGATCTTCACAGTAAGTTAGCTGCAGCTCATGGTTCTGAGTCGACCAAGGACCCTACTACTCCTTGATGATCTTGATTCATATCTGCATTGTTTTGCTGTTTTGTTGTTTCTTTTATCATGTTGTTTCCTTTTTTCAGACTTATCTATTTTTATGCCTAACTCTTGCATTCTACTTTCTTTTTATTTTTATTTTTTGTGACTTACCATAATTAAGTATATTTCTATTTTATCATTTTTTTCTCTTTAATTAATTGTTTATTTTATTTTTATGAGTTTATTATTTTTCAAGTTATAAACATAAAAGAAAAAATTCAATACACCAATCCTTGGAAGCACCAAATGAAGAATTGTTGTTTGCACCTACGAGAAGAAATTGGAATAAGAAGCCCAAACCAACAAAACAAAGAAATTTGAGCCCAGCCCAATTTTCAAACATGGCGCCCGCCACCAAGACCATGGCACCCTCCATGGGGTCTGGGATTATAACGGGCAGATTTTCAAACACCTCCCACTTTCTCCATTTTTAACCCCATTAACCACCCAACAACTCTCATTTTACCAACCACCTACTACCCCATTAACCACTCCAAACATCCATTTTTCTAAACCTTCATAAAAATTCAAACTTTCTCCTCCCAATCTCCAACACCCATTTTGAAACCCATCTTTTTGAATTTTCTTCCAAAGGACCAATAATGGAGTTCAACGGATATGTTCTTCGTGAAGGCAAACCTGGAGACCGATAACGGAAAATCCTTGAAAAATTGCAAGGACGAGAAATTGTCTCAACCAGGTATGTCGATGAAGACTGACTGTATACTTTAGGACTTTATCATAGTTTTTTTCATTTAGCTGACATCCTAGGATTGCATGAAATTTTTACTAGAAAAGAGCCCACCTTTGAGAGGCTAACTCGGGAATTCTTAAGTTCTCTAATTTGTTTGGTTCACCCCGACACTGCTAGTACCGTTGGTACGGTTAAATTCCATTTGTTTAATGTTGAATATGAATATATCACCAACGAACTAGCAGCTCTGTTGGGTATTCCTCATGGTGATGGCGCTATTTGTGAGACCCCTTTGGATTCTGAATGGTCCACTGATGCATTTTCTTTCGGGCGTCAATTGTCAAAATCTTCTATAAATTCTTTTGAAGGAATTTTAGTATCATTGATCCATAACCCGTCTATTCGAATTTTTCGATATATGCTTGCCTGTACTATTTATGGACGGGAGAATCCAAACAAGGTAAATGCTAGAGAAATTCTATTTTTTCAAGGTAGTCTCACTAATAAAAGAATTAATTCAGTCCCATTTATGATTGCTCACATGATTGTTGTTTTGAGACATACAGGGACCATAGCTTTTGGAGGACTAGTTACATCTATTGCTAGAGCTCTGCACCTTGACGCTGAGATAGATACCCTAGCACCCTGCCTCCCCGCACAATTAATTTGAAATTTCTAAAAGATATGAAATTGTGCAAGGTGAGGAGAGCGGGTGGCTTTGAACTTATGGTTCGGGGTGTCGCTATCCCATCAGTCGTTCTGCCTTGCACTAGACGTACTGATGTACGAATTGCAACGAACTGGACCTACGATCTAGATGTTATACCTTTTACGGGTCCATTACCTCCTAATGTTCCACTTGGGGATGGACACGAGACTGATGAAGAATACGAGCAGAGGGATGAACCTCATGCCCCACATGTGTCCCCCACCATGCTTCACCCGTACACACTGCACCTTCTACTTCTAACACTTTTGCATGTACGGCTCCTGGCTTCTACATCACTAAAGAGATGTGGCGTGACCAGTTAGCCCGAGAGGAGAGAAGAGATGGTTTACTTTCTGCCATCCAATAGCAGCTAGCAGATGACATGAGTTTTATGGAGGCGTCACGACAGCAGACGGACCGCTCTTTTCAAAGTCTTATGGAATCTCAATTGGCGATATCCCACGAGCAACATAGGCAACAAGCTCAGTTTCAGAGGCACTCTGCCCTCATGGAGTCCACTCAAGGTTCCCTTTTAGGAAACCTTCGTGAGATTCAGAGTTCACATATTGCCTTGTCCGCCAGATTCGACCAGTTCGAGGCTTCTCAGAGCAGTCATCGTCGCAGCCGATCCCGTCATCCTAGAAATTCACCGCAGGATGGCGAGGGACCCAGCCAGCCTTAGTAATTTACCAGGTGACTCTTTCCTTATCTTATTTCGTAACATTGGGGACAATGTTCGATTTAAGTGTGGGAGGAGATTTACTCGCTTTATCGCTATATTTTTCTCGCTTTATTTTTTCCTTTCCTGCATTTTCCTTCTCGTTATTTTACTTATTTATTTGCTTTGTTTGCTTGTTTGCTTTATTTTCAAAATAATACATGTGTTTGGCGAGTCATCTATATCTGTATGGTCTAGTGTATATCCACTCCCCCATTTCTTGAGCCTAACCGAAAAATTTTCCTAAGAAAAAACTGTGTTTTGAACCTAGTTGGGCTATAAGACTTGGTTGAGATAGGATATAGTATGACTTGGGAAACCCCTTTTGAAGCATCAACATCGTTTTTACACCTTAAGCTTCATAAATTTAGGAATTCGATCCTGATACCCCCTATGTCGTGGCCTTAGAATGTCATTCTTAAATCCTTGAATAGTTTATCCTAGCAGTCAGCTCCGGTCTAAGCATGCTCTACGTAGGGGACCAAAGAGAAGTGAATGATCTATATGCTATGTTCTTATTATAAACTACAACCCCGGGATAGGTGACCCTCACAAAGTCATTTAACTCAACAAAAGTTGTATGTTGAAAAATAAAACAAAAGCAAAAGAAAAAGCAAAAGAAGAAGAAAAAGAAAAAGAAAAAAATTCTACCCATCTTTAGTTGGTTCAGAGGTATCTGGTGCTAAACTTGGTAGGGCGGATTATGATCCGATCCCCCGTAACTATAAATGGGTCGATAAAAGGGGTTACACCAACTCTTTGTACCAGAACCCTGCATTTTATGATCAGAATCACTATTCGGTCACTTTACTATGAGGATTTACGGATAACGGGTTTAATGTGATTACGCCTCAATGAAAAAGGATTTGAAAATAGGAAAAATATAGGCCTAAGCATAGTGGCATGATATGGATTGGTTCGTAAAAGAACGAAGCTTATGTCCATTTTATAGAAGAGTGTCACTACGATATCCTTGGTTTAAATCAGTCGGTACCTATCAATACATCCCTATTTTAATTCTATAGGCCCCTTACAGCCCAACTTGTTCACTAACACCGTTTTTTCTTCTTAATCTATTTAGAGTTTTTGCTTGAGGACAAGCAAAGGTTTAAGTGTGGGAGAATTTGATAACACTTACTTTACACTTGTTTTTGACTCTGATTTCACATGTTATTTAGGTTTTTTATTATTGTTTTCTCGTATTATGCCTACCTTTGGTTTCCTTTTCAGGTATTTCAATTATCCAGAGCTCCCCTGAAGAAATGAAGGAAAACATACTGAAAAACAGGAGTTTAGG